AGTTTTGCACTTACAAATTTACCTTCTTACCAAACAGACTTCTAGATATAATAGATGCAAACTTGAATTTCAATAAAGCATATACTTTTTTTCTTTTATCAAATACCCACTTGAATGCAAGTTTACTTCTTTTTTATAGATGTAGTTTTACATCTTATTATCAATGTAAATATGCATTGATCTGTCATTTGTCAATGCATAAATGTGATATTGCCAAACATAGGGAAAAGTGAACCAGAATGCAAATTTATCCTGAACCGGGAATTACACTCTATTTGCATCATTTCCAAATGCAGCCTTGGCTGTAATGGATGGAAACATGAATTCCAATAAATCATATGCATTTTTTATCAAAAGCCACTAATGCAAATTTACTTCTTTTTTATTGATGTACTTTTATATCTTATTATCAATGTAAATATGCATCGGTAAATATGTTTTTTGTCATTTGTCAATGCATAAATGTAATGTTGTCGAACACATATAAAAGTGAACTAGAGTGCAAATTTACCCTGAATCGGGATTTACACTCCATTTGCATCATTTCCAAACACAACCTAAACATTTTCCACTTAGTTTAGGTGATAATGGTACAACTTTCAGATGGCAAAATAAGGGTCCATTTGGTTTGCTGGAATAGGGGTTTAGAATCGGAATTGGAATGGGCTATTCCGATTCCAACTGTTTGGTTGGGTGGAATTAGAATCCCATTCTCATTCCTACTGGAATGGCATTCCCCCATTTGAGGAAATGGTCATTCTCTGCCCCTCTCTTGGGAATGAAATCCCATTCGTGTTGATTTTAATTCTCATTTCCATTCTTGTTTGAACCAAACAGACTATGGGAATGGACCATTCTGATTCTGATTACGAACCAAATGGACCCTAAATACATTCTAGTGAAAGGTAGATTAAGTAAATAAGTTGTAAACTATAAGTGATATTTTAGTAAAATAAAAACTATAAGATAAGTTTAAATAAATCCGTTAAATTATAAAGGGTATTCTAGTAAATGACCCAAAATTAAAATTTCTAGCCATGTGTCAAAAATTTTAGATTAAAAAGATGGAGAGAAGGATCCACACTAATCACATTGACAAATGTTGGTCCCAAGTGTTGCTTAGATCACTAGACAAATGGTCCCTAGCTAAAGCAAATTAGACGAGACACTTGGCGCTCTCTAAATAGATTGCTTTTCAGATCTCCTTGAATTTTGAGACAATTTAGGGTCAGTCAACTTCAGGATCTTTAATTTTAGCTCTAATGTATTCTTTTCCTTCTCCGAGAAACAAAGTGGGTGCCGTTCTTTGAGTGAGTCAAGATAAGTATTAGTTATAGTTTGAATGGAAGAAAGTGTAAAAAGATTTTGTATACAAGCGATGTGACAAGACTTAATCCTATATGGCATTTAGGTTTTATTTAATAAGTAAAAAGAATCCTTGACTTTTCATAGTTTAAATCCTCTACAGTTCTACTTGTAACATATGGCCAAATCACAATACGCCAAGTCAGCTTCCAAATATGGGTCCCACTCTTATGTGAAAGAAGTTGATTTATGGGTTATTGGTTAGGTCACCTAAAATTATATAGAAAGATAGCAAAACAAGCGCCATGAAGAATTGAAAATTGAAAAGTGAGAGTTCGGGTAGATGGTGCAGATGCCCAAACACCCCCCAACATTGCTTTCCAAAGCATATCAGCATCAATTGCGTTGATAATTGGACAAAAGCTACAGTGGTTCTAGCAAAACTCCCATGAGGATATTACTAAGAGGGTTTCTAGAGTTTAAAGTCATAGAAACCCTCTAAGTATATACAGCATTTTAATAGAATGAAAACCTGATATGATATATAATGATAAGTTGTGAAATTTTGAATCTTATTAAGATATAAAAATCAAAGATATTGATAATTAACAAAATATTATGATTTTTAAAATCGATTTGGAGATTGAATTAGTCAGGGGTCCGATTATTAGGTCGAATGGTCCGACCATTCGAACTGAACAGTTGGTCTGTTCTAACAAAAAAATAAAATCATTTAAAAAATAAAAACAGTGAAAACCATTTAAATGATTAACTGTCCGGGTCAGCGATTTGCTAACCAAAATCAATGGTTTTTAGATAAAATCTAATTTTGAGGAAAAATGGAACCGATCACCTGACCGATTCCTAATTTGTTCGATCTAGTTTGAAAACCATGCAAATCACAGATTAGTTTAATGTATAGGCAAACGGAAATTAAAACAAAACTACTCGTCATTGGTCATGGAAAGGGACAACTACACACCATGTGTATAGCAGGGCTAATTGATAAAGGGGATCCATCATCCATGCTCAAGTTCAACGTAAGAGATGCTAAGAATGTGCTTTCAATGTAGAAGAGCTAGAGACAAGAATCAGCGACAATAAGCTTGAAATCCGGGACCCTAGTAGACGTCGCACTCTTTGGAGACCAATCGTGTAGAGGTAGATAAACTGTTTGTGGTGTAGAGCTGCTGAATAAATGATCAATCAAGGTCAAGAATTTGATTTGATTTTATACGAGAGATTGGCCGTGCCCATTAAATGACTCAATCCAATCCTTTGAACTTTCAAAAAAGAAAGCTAGGGATTAATCAAACCGTGAACATAATTTTGAAATGGAACCGACTCCAATGGTTGTTTGTATTATGCCGAATTGAATTTGATGAAAGGTTTTTTTGGCAGTATCATGTTGTTTGGACTATTTTTAGGTGGTCGATAATTCAGAGGTCGAAGTGGAGGATTTTTTTGGATGAAGACTTGAATGTCGAGTTAGGGGTAGATTGGGTGCCAAGCTAGTTTGATTGTTGAGCTGGATAACTCTTCAGAGAAACCTACAAGGAATCAATGTTAGAGGACCCAGGGTGGCTAATCCAGCGAGGTCACTCCGATGATTAAGTTAGTACTCTCGTAGTAGATCGTGAGCTAAAAAATCATAAAGTACGAGAGCTAAAATGTGCTTACTCGCCTCTCTTGTGTTATTGGGGTTGGTGTCTTTATATAGGCATTGTTTGGTTTGGGCCTCATGCATTGCATCTAAGATTTTCGAGAGGTCGTGCTTAACCGGTTTGAGATCCTCGGAGGTAACCGCCATGCACGTTGACCATCCTCCGAAACATTCGATACGTGGGCCAACTTCTGAGAAACTTGGGAGCGTCGGGATATGCATGCCGAATTTGTCGGTGAGCACATCTCGCATGTCACCGCCTGGTCCCCATTCAGGTTGGCAAGCCCTCGAGGGATGTCGCTCCTCTAATTGAGGTCACTTCGGCCAGTGACGAGGTGCTACAGGCTAACCCTGGACGAGGTACTACAGGTTAACCCTGGACGAGGTTCTGCAAGCCAACCTAAGTTGTGGTCGAGGTCGCTAGGTCGGCATAAAGGCAAGTCACCAGGTCGGGGTAAAGACGAATTGCGATATGGGACTCCAAATCATCACTTAGATGGTGTCTAGGTGTCATCTATCTATTCTGAGATGCCATGTGTCACAATGTCATTGGAGGGCAAATCTGACTTCATTAAAATTGATTGGTTAATTGATGATTAATCAAGTCATTTCTTTGGTTCTTCACCTTTCATATTCATAATATATATTACAAATAAATATATATTATAAATACTATAAATGTATATAATATATAATTTATTATATGTAGTGTATACATATATATATATATATATCATATATTTAATTAAACAAATTTTTTGGTTCGGTTCGATTTTTTATAAATATCCCTACTTTTAAACTTCATCATCATATGGATAAGAATCTAAAGATGCCTCTCATAAAGTCCGCTTAGTCTTTTTCTACAACCTCCATTATAGTTGTTGAGGGGGGGTCTATTGCTCCATAATCTTATCCAATACAAATTAAATCCAATCCAAACTGAATGAAATATAAAAAAATATATAAAAATATAACATATAAATAATTATAAAAATATATTTAAATGAAGAAAATATGAAAATGACAAATATATCCTTTTGGTATTGAAAAAGCATTTTTGTAAAAGCAATTTTATGAAAGTACATAAAAGTGCTTTTGTAAAAGTACTTTTATATAAGTGCTTTTGTAAAAATACTTTCGTAGAAGTGCTTTTGTAAAAGTACTTTCATAAAAGTGTTTTCATAAAAATGCTTTTAAAGTACTTTTGTAAAAGTGCTTTTATAAAAGTACTTGCATAAAAGTGTTTTCGTAAATGCATTTTTATAAAAGTACTTCCATAAAAGTGATTTCATAAGTCTTTTGTAAAAGTATTTTTATAAAACTATTTCTGTAAAAGTGCTTTCATAAGAGTACTTTTGTAAAAGTATTTTCATAAAATTATTTTTATAAAAGTGCTTTCGTCAAAGAACTTTCATAAAAGTGATTTTATGCTGGCTTCAGTTATGATTGATTTCAATTTGGATAAGGATTTATCCTTATGATTAGATTATTGAAAATATTTTCATAAAAGTACTTTTGTAAAAGTATTTTCATAAAATTATTTTTATAAGAGTGCTTTCATCAAAGAACTTTCATAAAAGTGATTTTATGTAAGCTTCAGTTCTGATTGATTTCAACTTGGATAAGGATTTATCCTTATGATTAGATTATTAGAAATTTGGTTTAGATCCAATTTAGACAAATAAAAATATGAACCAATTTATTTTAAATTGGCCCAATCTGATAATTAGACCATTCAAATCCAATTTGATAAAGTTTGGATTGGATTGGGTCCAATCGACACCCCTAACTGGGAGTAGGCTATCCCCGTGGGCGCATATTAGTCATATCCCCTCTTCAAATTGCCTCATAGAGTCATAGTAATTATTCTTTTCTATGTAACCTTAGAATTCACGTCCCCTGACGCACTGTTAATTGCTCGTAGCCCTAGCATACTGAGTAGAAGGGAGGTGGTGGCACGTGCGGAGCAAACTAAGCTCGTGTTAAACTTAAAGCATAATAAACAAACGCTATCGACCAGAGTCCCAACTCTTAAATGGCGAAATGAATTGAAGGCTGCGCAGCATTTAAACTCATACTCTCTCTCTCTCTCTCTCTCTCTCTCTCTCTCTCTCTCTTCCTGCAATTGAAACTGAAGCTTTGAAGCATCGTAGCTCCATCGTCTTCTCTTTCACACTGGATCTTCGCGGTCGAGGCAATTAGTTTCTGCTTCTCGAGCTTAAATGTCTCGTCGGCTCGATATCTTCATTTTCGCTCCTCTCCCATCGCCACCGCCTCCACCTCCGCCATTGCAGGATAATGTAGCAAGAACGGGAGAAGCAACCTTCGATCAAGCTCGCAGTCATGGAGGCGGTTCTTCATCCAGTAACGTGAAACCTAGCTTTGAAATCCTGTCTCTCATCCTTGCCGTTGTCGTCTTGGCTTCCCTTTCTCTCCATCTCCTGCTCCGCTGCCTTAAGCGATCCTCTTCTTCCGACGATGCTGTCCTCGCGTCCGCCGAGCCGCATCCGGTTTCTCGCGTCTCCAACCGCCAAGTGTCGCCGGCTAATCAGTCGCTGATCGAGTCACTCCCTCTCTTCTCCTTCGATTCGGTCTCTGGCCTCCGCAGCTCTTCCTTTTCGCCTGAGTGCGCCGTTTGTCTGTCGAAATTCGAGCCGCACGACCTGCTCCGCCGTTTGCCTCTCTGTTTGCACGCATTCCACTCTGATTGCATTGATACGTGGCTCGCCTCACATCAGACCTGCCCCCTGTGCCGATCTGCAATCCACGTGTCCGAATCAGAACTTGCTTCCAAGCTGTCGTCTTTGTCCGCCCGCGGCGATAGTTTCCGGATTGAGATTGGAAGCGTCAGCCGCGACAGAACGCCGACGGATCACAACGCCTCCCGGCGGTCGTACTCGATGGGAGAGTTCAACTATGTGGTGGAGCAGGAGTGTGAGGTTGTGGTGCCACCGACGCACAGGCGGGGAGCTTCGGAATGCATTTCAAACGTGAAGGAGAAAGATAGCGGAGGTGGAGGCAGAGAGCCTCCTGTGAATACGCCTTCTCTTGCGCTTGCGCTTGCACATGCTCCTGCTTCTGCGCCTGCTCCTGCGCCTTTGTTTACGCCTGCACCACCGGGATCTGAATTGGCAGCAGAAGTAGCAGGCGGGAGAGCTTGGTTGAAGGATTACGTGGATAGGTTGGCTTCTTCGGCCTCGTCTTCATTCTCCTCGCGCACTCTCTCATTGGGACATTCCGGCAGGTTTTTTAGCGGAAGCAGCAGCCGCCGGAGCGAAGGCTTCGGGGGAAGTAGTCGACGAAGTGACGATGGCACCGCTGGTTTTGATGGCGGGAATTGGGATTTGGAGGGAAACCGGGTGGGCGAAGAGATCAGTAGTTTTTTCCGGTGGTTATCGGGGGTATGATTCGTAATTTCCTATCAACATGAGAGCAACTTCAATTCGAGGTCAAAATGACGGAAATAGCCTCTCCTCGAATGGTTTTATTATCCTGTACAGAGGTTAATTAGGAGGCGAAGGACAGTGAAACAGAAAAGCGAAAACGCCCTCAATGGTCTGGGAGACTTGGAGACTTGGATTGGATCATTGGAATTGGAATCCTACTTTCGTGGGCATTATCGTCATAACAACTTAAGAGGTGAGCATTTCAATGATTTTACTGAAATGCCCCTATAGGACAGAATTGTATTCTGAAACTTGTAAAAATTGGCTTGCGAGTTGCGACAATCAAACGGTTTGCATTAAAAGTTGGGAGGATTAGGTCAATAAAAGGAGCGAGTGAGATCATCATTCATCAAACATTAATTGGAGTGATTTGAGTGGAGTAGAGAGAGCGACCAAACCAAACTCACTTTTGCTAGGTCCAGACTCAGAGAGAGAGAGATTGTTTAATGAATTATATGGATCAGAGAGGAAGGGGTATGTATTAAATGGGCCCCCATTTATGAGAAGTCACAGATAACTGGTTTCATTACGTGACCTCTCATGGGAGATAGGCGGCTTTATCAATTTATCATATTCATGTGTGTGATTTTCTAGCTTGTGAGTTGTTTAAATGTGTAGTATATGTGTTAGAAACAGGACCCTCTACGTGGTGGTCCAAATGGGAGGTCCCTAGCAATTTGTCCGGATCGAAGTTTCTCAAATGAATGATCAATTGCTTGTTCCTTTTAAATTTATTTTTTCTTTGGCCAAACTTAGAAAGTAGAAACTGTATGATATGTTTATTGATATCAACTCTGTAAGTGTATCATATGTCGTATTTCTGTACATTTAGTCTGTGTCTCTATGTCGCCTTGTAGTCGTCCCTACCAAATCAAGTCTTCACACTTCGCTAAGGAACTTTCAGGTGAACAGTAAGGAAATTGAGGCTGTCGTCAATCTATCAGCTTCAATGGGGGTGGGGGAGGTTTCTTGGTAGTTGGTCAAGAAATTCCGGGATAGAACCCTGGTATGGGTGCTATCAAAAGCTCAGCTTTGAGGGGGGTCGAGGAATTAAAATACGTATTTATTTGATTTGATCTGTGGTTCCAAGCAAGGGTCCTCTAGTCACTATCAACCTACTAATCTGTGTAATTTTGTGTATAAATTGATTGTTAGTTTGGGTCAATAGCATTAGGTCCTTGTCCTTCCCTTGCAAATGGAGTTTGTGCTTTAATGGGCAAATAAATAATAAAAATATAGCCTATAAAGCGTTGAGTTCTTTTAAAATAAAGCTAGGTATACTGTTTACGAGCTAAACTTGATGTTGAAAAGCTTATGATGGGCTGGAGTGAGGCTTTTCCTTTTCCTTTTTCTTTTTTTTTTTTTTAAATACCACTTTGGTGTGAAAGTAGGGTTTATTAAAACTTGTTATAGATGGATCATAAGATGCATCCTATTCATTTTATTCAATAAATTATAAGTGATATTAGTATATATCGTATACCATATATTATATGCTTATTTTTTGTTGTGTCTATGCAATATCTTTGTCTTTACTCCTAACTTGCAGATGAGCTGCTACGAAGCTATCAATAAGCTTCAAAGCTTGAAACCTTTCAGTATTTGATAGCACTGGAACCTTGGTATGGGTGGCTATTGAAGCTTGTCTTGGGGGATGACCAAAGAATGAAATTAAATAATCAATCGTTTAATCCATGAAGGCACCGATCTAGAGTCAATTGGCTCATTAGTCTATGTAACTTCATGTATAAGTTGGTTCGTAGACCCGTCAATCACTTTAGGCAGTTACTGGATAAAATAACTTTTCCTTGAAAAGTGTAATTTAATAAAAATTAACAGATGAATGATAATATTCTTAAAGAATACGAGGCATTGAATTCTTAAAAAAATAGAAGAGAGAAAAGATATATGGAACGATTTGCGTCTTACGAGCTACGCTTGAAAATGTATGATAGGCTGAAGTGGGATTTTGTTCCTAAAACTTTGGTAAATTTAAGTTTTAATGAAGATGGATCATAAATGCACATTAAATTCTTTCTTTTCGATGGGATAGTAATATGGATTAGAATAAAAAGCACAAGTCAAATTTTGGTAAGAGAATTGCTTAAAGCCTCTAGAGTTATCACATTACAATGGTCAAGATAGCTCTTCATCTTACGTGCTTAATGCCTTGTTCAAATGAACGAGGAAATATAAAAACTGTATTGGTATTGATGAAATCAAACAAGGGCTACGAACAGCAAAATTGGTGTTACCATTAACATGCTTTTCGCCAGAGCTGGTGCAAGCTTCTCGCACTGTTCCCGGGGCTTTGTTGAATCTTGAAAACCTACTCTGACTCTCTGAGCCTGAGGTCTCTGCGCAACAGTCGATTAATGGCTTAATTCGAAGGGCACAAAGTCCTTTCTTCTGCGTCGCAAATGCATTCCAATTCCCAAGAGACAGAAGAGGAAAAAAAGAAAGACAAAACGGTTCCCGTTTTCTCTCGTCTTTTTGTTGAAATCAGAATACGATACGACTACAAGGTTGCTGATTTGACACTTGGCCATAGAGTAGTTACTAGTTAGGGTCTTTAGGGAAGACAATGCCACTCGAGTCTTGGAGTCTTGAAAATGCTGGGGTTACGGTATTGCTTTTGCAGATAATAGTATTGCGTTAATGTGAAGCTTCTGTTTAGTTTATTACCAATATGGTCGGACTTAAAGTCTGAAACACAGCTTTTTTACAACATCGAACATTATATCACCCAACTTGCCCTTTTCAATGAAGAGATTCCATGCCGAAAACGTTTTAAAAAGCTACATCGGAAACCGCAAGGCCCGGGGGGGGGGGGACTTCCAGATAGGAGCTGGTGGATTAGCTTCCGCAATACCAGCGGATTCGTGTAAGATTCTTGGGGTTTTTATCAAATTTCATAGGTAGGGTACCCTGACAGTGGAATCTATCAGCGATGGATCGGGAGATGTTTTGTCTTTGGGGGCCAACAACCATGTGCCCTTTTCAGCGCTAACCTTCCAAATTGTGTTAATAAGGTCTGTTTGATGGAAGCAATGTGAAAAAAAAAGGCTGTTGAAATATCACCAATCCCAATGTCACGGGATAGCGGCATTCCTTGGTGTTCATTTCACATATACGACATACTTGTCGATTGCCCTGTACAGTTTATAAATGCCATCATGAAACACTCTTAAATCATGGTAAGAAGAAAAAAAAAAAAGATTATTAAAAATCTATTACAGAAAATTGAGATCTTACATAATGGTAGACCATAGAATGATAGAAATTCTTCTAGTTTGAATAAGCTTCATGCTCATAGACTCACTTACATACCCAACTTTTTCATTACAGCTCAATCAAATCGCTAATGCACCATAAATCCTCAACATTTTTTATCATATGTAAAGGTATCCTGGTAGAAAAAAATATATATGAAGGTCAATACAATGGATGGCTACAGGTTGTCCAGTTAATTTGTGTTCCTTATCTGCTGGCAGATTGGATGAAAAATGACTGCCCGTTCACTCATAAATTAATAACTAGTGAAAAAAGAATTTTGACCTTTGAGTTCTCTTCTACCTACTTATTCACATGGCTTTTTCTTCGAAATCCCTTCGGTGGTAATACAAGCTGAACAGAAAGAACCCCACGCAATAACAAATGCATTTTACAAATTTAGACATATTTACAGTAAGGATGATATGGTTGGGCTTGAAGAAAATTCTCCACCTTCATTTGAATCTTTTAGACTGTATGGTCATGCTTGCTAATTCATTCTGAAGCCTCTGATTCTGCCATGCTACGAAGGATTCTCATGGAGCCAGAAACTCTCAGGATCTCTACTGAATAAAGAAAAATCCTCAATTTCCAGATTTGCTATATGCCAGTCAACAAAGCGTGCTTGTATTGACTTGACCAGAAGAAGGAAAGTAGGAAGAATCCACCATTTATCATCCTCCCTGTCCATAAAAACAAGACAACATAAGACAAAAAGAAGAAATGGGAGTAGGACTATGTAATATTAAAAGTAACATGTACTTTCGTAAACTCTAGAAGGGCTAGGGGCAGACAAGAAGGACATGGGTCGAAGTAGTAAGAAATGATTTACACGCTCATAATTTAACGTTGGATATGACATTAAATAGAATGGAATGGAAAAACAGGATTTGTGTTAGAATAAGGCTTAGATGATGATGATGACAAAGGTCAGCCAATAACCTAGTGTTTTTTTTTTTTTTTTTGAGGAAAATAACCTAGTGGATGAATTGGCTCAAAAGGGGATGAGCAGAGATAGTTTGTATTGGGGAATTATCCCCCATGGAGGCTGAATGTAATACATAAATCATGATGAAAAGGGGATTAGGTAGCTGGGTTAGCGTAACACTTATAAGGGTGCATTGTTACCCATTCTTTTTCATAAATTGATGAAGTTTATGGTTAACAATAAAATAAACATGACCTATCAAAAAACAATAAATAAATATGGTAGTGGTCGTCTCGACATTGAGGTATCTAGTGCCGAAAAATGTTTACATTAAGGAATATATGGTTTGCCACAAGTTGTGTTATCTATGTAAAGTAGGCTAGACCATTAAATGAAGCAATATTATTAACTTCAGAAGGCTCTTTTACAGAAATCTCTTTGAAAGTTCTGCAAGCTAATATAACTTGGTCAATCAGCCTCAAAATCTAAATCTCACATCATCTAAAGAGAAGTTGAAGCAACACCTTCTAAGGTTCCATGAATTTTCCTTTTGTGGTGGCTGGAAAGAGGAGAAACCATAGTGCAAAATGCCACAGACAAAAGCCACAGCCTGCAAGATTCCCACAACAATCTCATCAAACAGACAAATATGTACCCCAAATAAATACTGAAAATTAACCATGGGAAGCTGTAAGATCCTTATCACTATATCCATACTTCCCAAGATACAAAAAGGTCGCCAACAATGCCATTGCAACTTAATCTAGAGAGATTTGTACTTAATTTTATGGTATTTTCATGATAAAACATCAACACACACCTTTATGCACAACTGAACAAAATAAACAGTGCATACAAGGAAATAACTAGGGGTGTCCACATGGTTTGGTTAACCGAACCATGGGCATATTTTGCAAACTGAACAGGTGGTACCCGTTTTTCCATTTCTCCAAACCGAAACCAAACTGGTACCACTGGTTAACCGGTCCACCGGTTTCGGTTTTTGACCGGTTCGGTTCTTCAGTTTTTTGGTTTTTTATATTTATAATATATATTATATAACTATGTGTATAATATTATATTATAAATAATAAATGATATATAATATATTATAAATATTTAAAAAATATATAATATATAATATATTTATAAATAGATTATTATAAATATAATATAAGTATATATTTATATATATATAATGAATATATATTTATATATAATATATAGAAAATATGTGACATATATTAAAAATAATATAAAATATACATATAAATATATATACCGGTTGGTTCGGTTAACTGCCAGTTTTTTTTGTAGGTTAACTGAAAACCGAACCGGTCCTTCGGTTTTTCAAAAATTCCAAACTGAAACTGAACCGATCGGTTCAGTTAACCGCATTTTGTGGTTCAGTTTTCTCGGTTTGGTTCGGTTTTTTGGTTTTTCATGGACACCCCTAGCAATAACAATCCACCTTAGAAGAAGAAAAAGTAATTCAAGGGGGGAAAAGTAGTTGAAAAATCATATATGTTCTTTCAGCTAATCAAAAGTGGTAATGAATATTCAGTGAGTTTCTTATTTTTACTTCAAAACAAACATTTATGAAAAAATATCACTGAAAGGTTTCATGGGGCTTCTTTCTTGAAAGAGATGCAACCTCTAAATAGGCCTATGCAACTGAAAATCATACCCTATTTACAGAAAAGAGAAAAGGGAAAAAAGAGAAAAAAGAAACATGGACACCAAAGAAGGTTAAATGAAAACATGTCAAGTAAAATATGTTTTTCTTTTTTCTTTTCTTGCATAACATTTTATATGTCAAGAAAAAGGGAAAAAGAACAATTAGCATCCGACTAAACACTCATAGGACGCAGGAGCAGCAGACATCTCAGATACCAAATAAGAAATAAGAACGCTCAGAAATAAAATCAGGGCAGAGAGGTCAACTAGAAACAGAAAGTTAAAACAGGATTCCATAAAAACCTAGATAGAAAGCATAGGAAATTGTATGATACATCAACTAGAATTACACTCTTAACATGCAGAAACAATGATTTGACACTTCTCATGTCTATTGAGGTAACAAACTTAAGATATAACTTACAATGTTGGACAGAGATGTAGCATTCCACAATGCATAAACACGCGAGAGTGAAGCTCTTTTAGGACCTTGACTGAAAAGACCATTCAAACCAGCAGGAAATGTAGAGAGCAAAGACAGAGGAAGAATAAGAAGGACAGCAAGAAAGGCTCCAAGAGAAATCCAGTAGAACTGAAGCAATGTAAGGAGAGTGATGATAAGATCTCCTAAAAGCATGATAGAGATCAGGAATTGAAGACTTTCCTGAAACACATAGATATCCAAATATTAAATGAGTAAATAACAGAAATCCGATTACCCATTTTATTATATGAAAAATACATTAGCAGCATCTGCTTACCTGAAGACCAACAGGTCTGGTGTTGTGTAATAAAAGAGAAAATGGGAATAGGAAATCCCTTTTATAATCCAAGGATTTTAATGTTGCTTCATTTAAAATCCCTCCACTCACTCCTCCAGTGATTCTTTTACGAGACAATGCATGGCCAATGAATGGCTGACCCTGTGGCAATTGCTTGAGGCTCTTCCGTGCGATAGCAGAACTTTTCCTGAGATGTGAAGTCCATTCAAGTCAACCATAATTCTTATTGAATATATTTAGCCACATGAACAAAATCAACAAAATAAATAACAGCTTCATCACTTAAGGAATAAATAAGAACCAAGGGGATTAAAAGTGTCTACATGGGGAAGAAAACTCAGAGAACACAATCAAGACCCAACTTGCATGAGATATATTTCCATCATTTTACAGTAACTTTATTTCTGGAGAACAAAACTTCCATGTCACTGTCAAATATATTAAGAAAGCATATTTACAATGAAATGAAGACCATTGGGCATAAATTTTGGAAATGAGATTTCCATGTGCTCATTCAAAACCAGATGTACAATGTATTTTGTTCTCTTTAATAATAAAATGAGATTTTTCTTTACAAGGCATTCTATTTACAGTTAAGGTTTCAAATTTCAACACGATGCGCCCAATACGGGGTGTATTGGTGTTGCTAGCCCTTGGAAACTACGAATTTCAGTTAAGGTCTTTGGTGTTGGCCACTCTTGAATAGCTTGAACTTTTTCTTGATCCACTTCAATCTCCTTGGCTGAAACAACATACCCCCAAAACACCAACCGACCTGTCACAAAATTACACTTCTTCAAATTTATATATAGCTGATTTTGTCTCAAGACTTCTAAGATTGCTCTCAAGTGTTCTCAGTGGCTGTCATGATCTTTGCTATGGATGAGTATGTCATCAAAATAAATTACCACAAACTTCCCCATAAACAGCCTTAAAACTTGGCTCATGAACCTCATAAAGGTGCTAGGAGCATTAGACAACCCAAATGGCATAACCAGCCATTCATAAAGACCTTCCTTAGTCTTGAATGCAGTCTTCCACTCATCCCCCTCTCAGATACGAATTTGATGGTATCCACTCTTCAGATCTACCTTTGAAAAGACTTGTGAGCCAGCCAATGTGTCTAACATGTCATCAAGGTGGGGTATGGGAAACCTGCATTTCACTATAATCTTGTTAATGACATAACTGTCAACACACATACGCCAACTACCATCTTTCTTTGGTGTGAGCAAAGCTGGTACAGAACACGGGCTTAAGCTTTCACGGATCAGCCCCTTCTTCAACAACTTTGTTACTTGTCTTTGGAGCTCCTCATGCTCCTTAGGACTCATTCTATAGTGGGGTAGGTTAGGCAATGCTTCTCCTGGCATTAAATCTATATGATGTTGTACATCTCTTAGGGGAGGAAGGCCATCGGGTAATTCTTCAGGCATCACATCAACATACTCATGAGCTTCTTCACCAACTCTGGAACATGTGTTTCTTTGCTTTCTTTTGTAACCAGCAAGTAAACAACATCCAAATTCCCATCTTCTTGATTCAATTTATTTGAGGTGAAGAGAGTAGTGGTTGGCTTTGTTTCCTTCTTTGGAAATGAATCAAGTTGCATTGGTTTAAGAGTTGTCTTCTTATCGTCTTTCACAAAGTTGTATGTGTTCTTGTCTCTATAATGAATGGTCTTACAGTCATATTGCCAAGGGTGACCCAAGAGAATATGGCATGCATCCACTGGAACAACATCACACCGTATCGATTCTTCAAATATATTACCAATAGAAAAATTAACTAGGCATTTAGAAAAATCTCTTACCTCACTTCCTTTGTTAAACCACAGAATACGATATGGTTGGGGGTGTTGAACAGTCTTGAGCTGTAATTTATCCACCATCTCTTAAGAAACAAGATTCTCACTACTCCCACTGTCAATAATCAGGTTACACAACTTCCTGCCAGCTGTACAACGTGTTCTAAAGATATTCTTTCTCAACCAGTTCCCTGGTAGTGGTTCTTGAGGTGCAACCATAAAGTGTCGTATCACTAGAGCTTCACTCTCAATATCCCCATCCAAGTTTTCTTCCTCTGAAGCATTAGCTCCAATAGTTTTAGCCACTTGCCCATCCTCAACATGGCCTATATTATCTTGTTGTTCATTAGTGACTTCATTAACCAAATGTGTTTGTCCTTCAATCCTTCTCTTAGGACATTCATTTGAACGATGTCCCAACTCCATACACCTGAAACATCTAATAGTAGGCTGCCCTTGACTGCTCTTTGTTGCATTTGAAGTCCCTTGGACCGTAGGTCGTGTTTTGGTTGATCCCACAACCCCTAACAGCCCCAACACTTCGACCTACTGATGAAGATGTACCTTGGACAGAACTTAGCCTCCGCCCTGAGCTCCGACTCAATTGAGCTTCAACCTTTAGAGCTAGCTGATATGCATCCTTTACCTTATACGGGCAATGTAGGCAGACTTGATCTTGTATTGGCAACCTCAAACCCATTGATATATCTACTAACTTTTTGCTGTTCAGTTTCTGACATATTACTCCGAAGAGTTAATCTATTAAACTCTTTTGTGTACTCCTTCACACTCTTTTCCCGTTGCCTTAAATTCTGCACCCTTTGGTAAAGAGTTTGCTCATAGTCTGATGGTAAAAATTGGGATTTCAGCTTCTCTTTCATTCTTCCCCAAGAACTAACCTTTCTTTTCCCCTTCCTTTCTCTGTCCCTTTGGTAATTTTTCCACCAATCTTAGGCTGTCCCACGCATCTTTTCTGTTACAAGCTTCACTTTTCTTTCTTCATTCATTTCTTTCCAATCAAAATAATTTTCAATGCTGTCCAACCAGTSTAGAARCTCTTCARRTTCCAACTCACCATCAAACTCAGAAATATGAAGTTGAACACCATGACCTTGATTGGATTGTAAAGCTTGCACTATTCGATCTTCCCACCGCTGGTTGTTATTACTTCCATGCTGATCACATTCAGGTTGTTCAATGTCTTCACCTTAAGAACAAAACTAACTTCAAATGAACCCTCAAAAGATAACTTTTGTTACAAAAAGACCCAAGAGACCAAAACCCAACAGATATGCACCCAACTGCCCCTGACCAAAAATCTGACTTATAAAATGACGAAAATATCCCTGGTCCCGAACTGTCAACAAAGCTACCCAAAACAACAATTTGGGGTCCTACTAAAAAACATACAAAACAGAATATATTCACACATTTTTTTGTTTTGTTTTGTTTTGTTTTTTGTTTTTTTTTGCCTCATCATAGTTAGACCAAGACTCTATTAGAGGAACCCCAGTGAAGCTAGGACTCCTGCATAAGTCTCAAAGTAACATCAAGAAGAATCTTAATTGAACTAGGACTCTTGGGGAGGAGCCCTAGTTGCACCAAAATTCTAGTAATCTGGTTCTAGAGGAGTCTAGAGTGGATATGGGAAGAGCCTTTGTAGCACTAGTAGTCACAAAAAAGTTTCTTAGGACTTGTCTTGTAGTGTCTTGATTGAACTGGAATCGTTAACATGCCTAGGTGATCACATTCTAACAATAACATTGAAAGAGCTTCAAAGCAAAAGACTAAGTTTTAGATGGTTTCCCAATTGGAGTATGACTATTGATTAAATCCCATTTGATGGTGATTGATCTAGACTATGATTGTACGATATCCCAACCAAATTTGGACATTGTAATGCAAAAGGATTGAATTATAAATTTACTTTGCATGAAAGGGCTCATGTGATAATTTCCAAGACTCAAGGACTTAACTACAAATGTGTTGTTAGACTGCTTTGCAGTTTTAGGAAGTCTTTCTAATCCTGACCAAAGATTAGAAAGAGTAGTTGGAAGATTCCAATCCAAGAGTAGAGAGATAAGTTATCTCCTGGGAAACCCTAATAGGATCTCGCACCCCCCTTATATTTTTCTTCTCTTAATATACAAGTTATTAGAGAGCTCAAAGGAGTGCAACTCAACCATCCCTCTTAGGTGACCTCAATCTACACTTTTTGGTGTCCAATAGATCTAGAACTGAGTCTTGAAAAGTTGTAAAGTAAGTAATGTGACTTCCATTGGGGGAATTGATCTGGCTCGTTGGATCGAGCAATTTAACAGTTTTTTTCAATGTTTTTAAACCACCATTGATCCGGATGGTTGAATCGTTCAACCTGATAACCAGTCACTAATCTGGTTCCGTTTGTCTTATAACCCAGTATTATAACAAAAACCATTGACAATGTCAGAAAACCCTTAACCCAGCCATTTGAACTGTCAAATCATTCGGCCCGAACAATGGTTTGTAGGTTAAAAATGAATTCCCACCCCACTACACTTGCTTCCTCTCTCAGATCAAAGACTAAAATGGCATCTGACAAAAAGTCAAAAAGGTGAAAAGGTTGCAAGACTCAAAATTTGACAAAACCCATTAATCATATTACAATTTTTAACTAAATTAAAGAAATTATTCATTGAAGATCATTGGAACAACCCTTTACACTGCCATGTCTTTATGAGAACCATGTCATGAATAAACAAATTATTTATTCGGTTAATCCAATTGTTTAGCAAATTCTAACGAATTGTACTTTTTCTCTTCTGATGTACAAGGAGGCAAACCCCATTGCGCTTTTAAATATTTTTATTATATTTATTTCATCATGGGGTAATCCGTTCAACCTAGACGGTTGAACTGCCGAACTGTGACCTAGAAGGAAAAATGGTTCCATTTGTGGGTTGTTTTTAAAACATTGGTTTTTTCTATTCAAGAATTCTGTTTCGGATGTGGTAAACAAGTTTGTATAGGCATGAAATAAAAGAAAAATTAAAAATAGTCAAATATTTTTAATTGATTACTTTTCTATTATTTCATTTTCAATAGATAGTGGATTTCTAAACAAAGCTAAACACCAAATAAAAACTGAATATGTTGGCTGAAATAAAGCTGTTGAATGAGAGGAGAAGAAGAAGAAGAAGAAGATATGAGATGGGCRGCAGAAKWGTTCTCAGCCAGCCCTAATCTATTATATATAAGAACATTACATAATGTTACATAAATAAACCAGAATGCCCCTGATTAGTGATGGGACACCTAGTCAAAATAAACACTAAATAAGATTAGGCCCAGTAACTAAGGCCCAATAACTAATGACTTAAGACCCAACAAAGATAAACATA